TTATAAAACTAAGAAAATGTCAAAAAAAAACACGATTTTAAAAATTTCGTTTCTTTTTCTTTTTATTTTTGATAAAGGGAACCTAAAATCTATTTTGATTCTTTGTATATGAATAAATCTAAAACTTTTATACAGCTTAAGTTATTTAGATTAATAATAAGGATTATATATGTAATTATTAATTTGAATGTTTTCTTCTATTTCAGAGCCAGTCGTTAAATATCAAGAACAATGAAATATTAGGAAAAAAATTCTATGATCTATTTAATACACTGTACATATTAATTTGTATTTTGTCCTATTTGTGTGAACTTTTCCCACATGTATCTCGAAACGAATGTAGATTACAAAAATAAATAATGTTTATGTTTCTACAAATTGTTTTCTTACTTTTAAAATTATATTAAATATTCCTTTTACCAAAAATTGCTTTCTTGAAAATAAAATAAAATAAGAGTTGTGATCGAGAGGGAGTGATAAGAGAATGAGTTTTCAAAAACATTAAATTTTATTATATTATTATGTATATATAGGGTGTCCCGAAAATAGTGCCCAAACTTTGCACATCTAGATACCTTGTTCAGAGTACATAAAAAATGCCCAAAGAACTGTACCTGTACTATCCATTGTTTATGTGAAAAAAAGTGTGACGTCACATTAGCATTGGACACATCAACAGCAGTATTTTCAAATATTTAAAAAGTCAGATATGTTCAAAGTGCATATCGAGGCAGGCTTGAGTGTGCCACGGAATCTGGAGGACTGTACATATCACTATAAGTGGTCAACATAATCTAAGCAGTCATACATTTTGTGATGCCAGCCAATTTGCATACGCAGCAGCTGTTTTTGTTCGTATAGAGTATTCTGGTGTTGTTCATGGTAGATCTTTTGGCTGCCAAATCGAGAATTTCTCCAATTAAAACCGTCACTATTCCTCGTCTTGAGTTGCTGGCTGCATCGGTGGGAGCTCGACTACGCAGATCTGTGCTCAGTGCACTCCAGTGGGACAATGTGAAGCGACACTACTGGACCGATTCCACTACGGTGTTAAGTCGGATTCAGCGAGAACTTTGGTTAGTTTTTGTAAACAATAGAGTTCAAGCGATAAGAGAACTGACTGATCCAACTTAGTGGAAGCATCTTCCAGGAGCACTTAATCCTGCTGACTTACCTTTTCAAGAGGGTGTTCTGCTCACCAACTCTTATCCAGTAGATGGTGGGAGGGATCCAAATGGCTTCTACAAACTGAGGAAAACTGGCCAGTTACCAAACCTATTTTTGACGAGCCATCCCCTCTGTTTTAAAAGAAAAACTAAAAACAAATCCACCTTCCAAGAATCTCCCAGTTGTGTGTTTTTTAAATCAATGTGAAAATAGTGGTAAAAACAATAATGAAGATTCAGGTTGGTACTATTACTATTTTTCAAGCTATGATCGACTGCTACGAATGATGGTTCGGATGAACAGATTCATTTTAAACTGTAGGAATCCTGCTTATCGAGTCACGGGTGAATTATCCTACACGGAACTAAAACAAGCAGAAAAAAAAAAAGATTAAAAAGATAGTATTAACAGATTAGTGCGTCTGAGAACAGCAAAAGGAGAATTTCTACGACCAGTCCAAAGAATCTTCCCTCTTGAAATTTCCAAAGAAACTTGCAGAGATGACGTTTTAAAAACTGAAAGTGGGAGAACTGTTAAAAAACCACAAAAGCTGGACTTGTAAACAAATTTAATTTTTTTAACTTTAGATGTAACTTTTCAGAAGATGTATCATATATTTTTTGTGTCTTAGTAAATATATTAGAAATGTTTATTGTATGTGTTATTCTTTGAAATTTTTAAATGTTTGGTAAGTTAAGTTGTCTTTCAACAACTTAAGGTGAAAATATGTCATGTCTTCAGCGAACATCACTCCATAACTTCAGCGCTGATAAATATGTTCACTGAACAAATGAATAAACATCACTGAATTAATAATTTTGTTTTATGACTTGTAAATCTGTCATTTTCCATAAAAAAAAAAGTTAGTATTGTATTTTTTGTGTGGAATAAAATGTTTTGAATTTTGAATGGCTGGATATTTTATCGTTCTTAGAATCTAGAATTATTTTTAATGTTTTGATTTTTTAAAAGTTATTTTGCCTTATTCAACTGCAGAACCAGATACGCTGCTAGCGTAACAGAGTTATTTATATGCAAAAAATATAACGTAATATCTACAGCGCTGTGTCCAGCGAAGAAGCAACATGAACACAAGAAACCGAGTCCATTTGTTTTGTCAATACTTCTGTGGCGGTATCTAAATAAGCCAGTAACAGCCTCCAGACAGGAGTGATCACTTTTGTCTAGTGGTATGTTACGTGATTACGAATCCATAGGTCGCGGGATATAATCTGCTGGTGACCTTTGCTTTAAAGAAAAACGCAAACCTTCTGATCTGTCGTGGCGCCATCTACCCGCAAGAACAGCAACCAAAAAGTCGTCAGACCCACTTGACGCAGCAAACAAAGTCGTCAGACTCACTTGACACAACACCCAAAATCACCCAACTCACTTGACGCAACAGTAACACGCTCGCCATAACAACAAATATCTCGTTTGCTAGCCTATCCACTAACTCACTGGTGGGGAGTACGGTGGTTGTATCTAAATAAGCCAGTAACAGCCTCCAGACAGGAGTGATCCGCTTTGCTGGTGGTATGTTACGTGCTTACGAATCCATAGGTCGTGGGTTCTAATATCTAACACTTCTTGATAGACCAATCTTTTGAGATGGCCGCATAGGAATAAAACCGAAGATTTTGAAATCTGATAACCATCGTGACCCTACAATTGATCCCATATGTCTTATTTAGCGGCCATGGTGTACCATATCTAGCCAATCACGTACCATTATGCATCCGTCGTCATTTACCGTATTTTTATTGTAAACTATATATCGTACAGGTACAGTTGTACAGTTTTTTGGGGTTTTTTTATGTACTCTCGACGAGAAATCTGGCTGAGTAGAGTTTAGATGCTACTTTTGGAACACCTGGTAACTATTGATTATGACTAGAATTCCAACAGAGAATCTGGGTTAAATGGAAAAGTATATTTGAATATTTTAAATTCATTTGATATCTATATTCTTACTTATTACTTTCAATACATTTTTGAATTCTTAAGCGTAAATTCCAATCTATATTAAAGAGAGGAAGTAGTTTTGAGATAAATGATTTAACTAAGCTCTCTTGTTTTTCCTGTCCGGAGGCAAAACCCCTACTGGGGGGTAACATGTTTTGTAATTTAATAAGTTTCATAAGCTCATGGTCGTTCTTGTCGCTCTCTAGGAATACTTAATATTATTGATGTACCATTTAGTATCTCTTATTTTCCCTGCACGTGGGTGCTCAATTTTTATATTGTAAACAAAACTGAAGAATAGTTAAGTTTTGCCAAACCATAGAGTTTATTTAATTCAATTCCTCATATTATACAGAGAAATTATTCAACATAGATTGATCAAACAATGTCGAAGAGTTTATGTAAATCGACTGATTCACGTTATTGCTGCAAGTAAAACAATGATTACTTCATTATTATGTACCAAATTTATAAAGCAAACTATTATTAAATCCCTTTAACATTTCTGCACTTATATTAATACACTATACTAAATAAATGTTGTAAAAGAATTAAACAGAGCTAAATGTTTTAATGTTAAAATATAATATTGTGTTTCAAATTTAAATCTAAATACGTAATAATAAATACATAATTTCCATTTTACCTTTTCACATTGCTCAGTTATAATTTTAAAATAGTGCATTTTTAAAAAATCTAGATCTTCTTTAACTGTAAAAATTTAGATTTATATCACACAATAGGATGCTGTTTCTTCATTTTATAATATTTGTAAGAAACTCAAAGCAGTTAAAAATGTTTTGCCTGAATCATCATATATACATATATAGATTGGAACCTTTGCAATGTTAAAAATGCATGATATAAATAACTGTTATAATGGTTTCAAACTCTCGGTCACATGATGAATAATTGAATATCGAAACACCTACGCACTCTCCAGTAGTCGGAGCAGCGTGAACATCTACATGGCTTAAAGAGTATTGAAATTGATGGTGTCCGTTTTATACACACAAAGAATATATTGAATAATGGCAAGAATAGATAGTTCTAGGAAATAATTTGTTTCATTCCTTTGATTGGAAAAAGTGTTTCCAAAAGGTATCTTATCATTTATAAAGATAAACATAATTATTTAATATCACTATATTATTAATGATTTGCTTGTTGATAAGTTATTTGTCATATACTTCTCTGATAAAGCTTGATAAAGCTTTTAATTCAAATATCATGAGAAATAGTTACGTCACTATAATATCTCAAGGAAACTTTTATTCTTCAATTGACAGTTCCTGGTGATTTCATGACAAAGGTATTAGCAAGTTGTCATCAGTCTCGTGATGGTTGCTGCACTTGCGAGTTCTACTTATAGGTTCAAATGAAATAATTAGTTATCGCTAAAATTCTCCCTAAAAAAACTCTTAAAGGTAAAGAAAAATAGTCTTTCTCTTTTTTCCCCCCTCTGCAGTGCAGATACTCTGTATTGTATATTTTTAACATACCGGGGAAGCCAAAAATTCATTAAAAAAAAGTGTGTGTGTGTACTTAGGTACGCACGTAAGAAGTTATACTTCTTTAACGTAACAAAATTAAAATCTTTCTAAAAATCTTGAGCAGGGCAAGCTGGACCAAGGACGAAAGGTGGTCACGAGCAGAGTTGAACGATACTAATCTTAAGTCAATCGGACAAGCCAAACCCGAGATAATAATAATTTAAATAAATTTAAACACCCCCGTACAGGGACAATAGGACCAATAATATGGGGAGGGAGTCGAAGGCGGGAATGACCTGTCCCGTTCTGCACATTTCTAGACAAAGCATTTTCGTATCCGTTCCTACGGAACACAGAGCAAAGGTTCGCTGACACGGGTGTATAACTCAGTGGTAGAGTATTGGACTGCAGATTGGGAGGTCCCCGATTAAAACCCGGGTGCTCCCATTTTCAGGGAAGTAAAGAGAAATAATTTTTTTGAGAGTTTCGAAGGCAGCAATGATCTGTCTCGTTCTGTATATTTCTAGACAAAGCATTTTCGTATACGTTCCTACGGAACACAGAGCAAAGGTTCGCTGACGCGGTTGCATAGCTCAGTGGTAGAGCATTCGACTGCAGGTCGAGAGGTCTCCGGTTCAAGCCCGGGTGTCCCATTCTTCAGAGAAGTGAAGAGAAATACTTTTTCTGAGAATTTCGAAGGCGGGAATGATTTGTCCCGTTCTGTATATTTCTAGACAAGGGATTTTCGCATCCGTGATGGTTTTACGTCACATCCGTGACGGTGTGCGCGCGCATTGTAAACATTTACCCTCATCCTATTTCTCTAACGCCCCCAAAGAAGTATAACTTCAAAAAAGAAAGAAATGATGATAAAGTACGTTTCGCAAGAAAAGGCTGCAACATCGTGACAGGGTAGTGTCAAAGATCACCCAACTAATTGACAGAAAAACCTTTTATATTTCTAGAGTAAATAATAAATAAACCATAAATTAAACTTTAAAATGCCTCACTTAACATGTTTTGCTACTGAAAGTTCTATTTCAATTGCAATTCTTGCATGCCAACCGTTTCACTGGTGATTCCGGCAATCCGTATTTCACCCTTCGCCAAAGTTCCTCGTAGGCCCTTGAGTGCGGCTGCGTCCGCAAATCAAAATTTGAAGAGTGAAAATTTTCAGTCAATTGATGGAAATCGAGAAGTCTTGTCCACTTTCGAGCCAACCCCTAAAAATTCCATGGCCGGTCACTTTCACACCTCGAGTCACCTCTCATTGGTGAATATAACACATTTGCATCCGGCTCTTCTGACCGTAGTCCCACTCCATGGGTGAGTTGGAACATTTGGCCGGCACGTTTGATCTCTGAAACGAAATGGCATCGCGCCTACCATCTAGAGGCTGTAACTTGTCTTGTCACGTATTCACTTTGTCTCGCCCTGTCGCCAGTACTATCTATTCAAGCTGTCTGCGTCCAACATGTGCGAGGGAGACCCAACACAAAGGGGCTATTAATCGAAGCTACTTTCCTATGGAGCGTTTTGACTTTCAATCTGCTGTAGGTCGGTGAAAGAGAAAAAGAATAGCGACATCAAAGTTATTTTCCGAGACACAGACGGTGCCCTTTATTTGGAGACGCAATCTCCCCCATCTGGACAACGTGACCCTCCATATTTCTATCTTGACATGTATAAATAGGGAAAAGTTCTGCTATTGAGCAGATGTCACAGAACTCAGAAGAAGTTTTGATTTTCTTAGTATGCGAAAATATTTTTAGTTAAAAATATCATTGGTAGATGACACTGACAATTTGAAATGCAATGTATAGGACAACAGTATGCTCTTTTAATTTATTCCTGCAATAACAATTGTTCAACGTACCTTCAGAACAGTGTCCGACACAACTAAGGCGGCCATGCGATCTTACAACCTCGAGCAATTACTCTGTTCTTACCAAAGGTTGTCGATAGGGGAATCATTTTATTCGATTGAAATAGTACAGAGGAGTGCCATTCTGCTTGAAGCTCATTACAGATAACGCACCTCTTTGACTTAATGCGGGTACAATTAAAAATATTGTTTGCTGCTAAGAAAATGCGATTTCCCTGTAAGCTCTTTCTTGTGTAAATTGCACCTTTTTATCGCCATTTTTTCCCTTTTTTCAATGAATTTTATACTTTAAACCAGTGCTTCTCAAACTTTCAAACTTTTGCGACCCAATATTCAATTATAATTTCATCGCGCCCCACTCCACTCCTCCCATACAATAACAATGTGTTGAATTCAATAATACTATACTGTGACGCGAAAGCTACAAAACAACTTAAACCTCTTAAGTGCCATCGGCGTATATAAACGTCTCGCTCAGCCAAAGCGTTACTTGGCCGTAACGTATATATACTTCTTTCTGAAGTATGACTTTTTTACGTGCACTGCTTGATTGTACTTGCGAAGGGTTCACTTATTTCAGAGGATTTGCTGATTTATTCCTCCCCCTATATATATCTCATACGTATGCCTACGTGGAAAACGGTACCATTGCGGAGCAAATCGCGTAAATTTTAATCGGCTGTTAAGGGGTTGATAATAAAACATACAAATGATCAAGATAAGTGTTCATTTTTGTGCATAGTTTGTATATATGACAAGCCCATGGGATCAATTGTAATTATTAAACTTGTTCTTAACTTAGTATTGTTAAATTAATTATAAAATACATTCTGTAGTACTGAAACATTTATAAGTATATTATATCAATGTAAATATGTATTTCATTTTTTATTGTTACAGAATGTATTTCATTTGTTTATTTTCAGTAAATGAATAATTTTTTTATATAATCTTTTGTTTTCGACTTTTCAATACACTCACCCCCCTCGTAGAGTAAAAACACTCCCCTAGGGGGGTGCATCACACAGTTTGAGAAACGCTGCTTTAACGAACTTTTAGCTCACTCGGTATACAATTTATTTTAAAGAAAATTATTGTTAAGAGCACAAATGGCAACAATATGGTGTATGAATGGATTAAGATGGAAGCATGTGATGTACTTGTCATGTGAATGCAAAATCACATGCATCGAGCCCATTAATGATGGTTACTTTAAATTGCATTCCCGAAAAACGCGAGTAATGTTTCGATTTATCTAAGTTTTATGAAATATTTTGAATTAGATTATCCATTAGATTATCATGAAGTTATATAGCTAAAGATAAACTTTTATAATGGCTTATTGCGAATACAATTTTAAAGAAGACATCTAGTATGTCGTTTAATCAAATAAGGGTACCTCAATCTCCATAAGTAAATCCAATTTTGAATATCGCTTATAACCCATATTATATTTAGAGGCAGATTCTAAAAGAATAATATCGTCAGCCTAGTTATCAGAATGCGTAACTCCTTCTGGAGTGCTAATTTGATATAGGAGTGCTACGCGCCGAGTTCTTGTTTATGTTCGCCCAGATGGACGATAGCATTACAATATGGTTACCTTCATATTTTTATCGTGTGGTAATGTGGTTGCCATGGGGATAGCGTACATTAAGAGTTAATTTTTATTGGTTTTTTCCCGCGGCAATCCTATTAATTTCAGACGATTTTAATTCAAATTTTCAATTTATTCGGATACAAAATTCGATTTTAATTTGAATTTTTTTCTCCGAGCGCTATTTGGCACGCTATTAAGGAATCGCACCAAACAGCGCTTGGTGCGTAGCACTCCTGTATCAAATTTAGTTCCTTTGTGGAGCTACGCATTCTGATAATTAGATAATTAGGTCGACGATATCTCTCTTTTTCTTGGAATGGAAGTAAAATAAATTCAAGAAAGGAATATAATTGATATTAAAAATGCACTATGAATGAAACAAGCACCCTTGCATGAAATAAATAATTTTGTTATTATATAAAACAGAATTTTATATTTGAGATAATAGTAGCACTAATTAATAGCAACATGATAATTCTGAATATTAATTTGAAAGTAAACTCACATGATGATGGATTTGAAATTTGCGTATGTGTGGTACGCGCTGGATTTTATTTTCAATTTCTTGATATTTTTCCTGGTTTAAATTATAAGAATATCATTATTAAATAAAAGGCCAATTCTTTTATTTTACACAAATATAAGATATCTCTCTCTCTTTATTTAAAAATAGACCTGTGTCAAAAATGCAATTGCGTTCTTTCAATCGTAGTAGTAAGATGATAAGAAATATTTAATCTTAAACTTAGTGAAAAGATAACTGAGAAGCCACAACTTATCAAGGTTTTACCCACGTTTATCAATTATTTTAAACAAAAACTCTTTTATCACACGTTCACTTCGGTAACGATTGGTTTTGTCCTTTTTTGAAAGGCCTTTCATGTTTTCGAACTTTAAACAATGAGTAGGGGAAACATCAGCCATTTTGTGGCTGGTGCGTTTTGTTTTATAATTGTAGCAAATATTTCCGTGTGTTATGGAGCTCTAGTAGATAACCTCGAAAAAGAAACACTTGAATCATCTTCTTTAGGTGCTTTGAATGACAAAAAAGAAAAGGTTCTAAATTCAAAACAATTGGGTTTGCATGTAGATGGTGAGTTTTTTTCCTTCTGTTGTACTTTTTTTATATATCTCAACATTTCATTTAAAACCTGATTGCTAACATTTTTATGTTACGTGCAAATGCATTTATAATACAAGATGTTGTCGTGGCGCAATTTTCTGTCACTAAAAGGAAATGTGAAATGTAAACATTGGGGATCATTAATGTTGCATTGGTTGAAATTCACATGATTCTCATTCATGAGATTGAAATTCACATTGTTACGCTTAACTACTTTGATGACTAGAGCAGCGTACCGCATGATAATGATTGGCGGTAATTTTTATTAAACCTCCAATCAGTGAACAGCATTTGACGCTGGAAACTTCCATAAATATCTTAGAGTTTTAACAGATGTTTAGAGTATTAAATACGGCACAAGTTTACGCCACATAAATATTTATTGTTTTACGATGGGTAATACAATTTGGGTATGCTGTTATTATGTATTGTATAATTGATAATAATGTAATTTATATATAAACTCTTAATGAACCAGAATCATAATTCAAAAAGGTATCTGAACACTTGAGAACGGTTGAGAGTCAATATTTTTATTTCTCAATTTTTTTTTTTACTGAATGGGAACATTTATTTAACTATGCGACATAGCCATCCTGTGATGACTATGTCTATTAGGATCCGCGTAAGCTAGAGGTGTGGGATTATCTAAATGAT